CGCGCCACAAAAAGTCGTATCACCCCCCCCCCCCCCCCCCCGGTGTGACTGAAATGCGCAATACACTGCAATACAGCGGAACACAGGGCAATACACTTGATAACACAAGTCCAGTTGCAAGTAAACACAGGAAAGAGTAATCTCAAATAAAATAGGGTGATATAAAAGCAAAATATAGTACATATAGTAATTAATATTGCTGATACAACTTGACAATTTTTTCATTTTTTGGTCAGCCGCCATGTTGGCGAGTAGCTCTTCTTGGCCAGTAATATATCCAAGAAGAGCCACTCGCCAACATGGCTGCCAACCGGACAACATAAAAGTCTTGCTGATTTGTTAATTTATATCAACGATATTACTTACCCAGTAATATAGGTTGTTTTTATATCACCCTACTTTGCTGGGAATTGTCATTTCTTTAGTGTAATTGCAACTGGATTTGATTTTTGAAGTGTATTGCACTGTGTTGCGCTGTATTGCGGTGTATTGCGCATTTCAGTCACACCCCCCCCCCCCCCCCCCCCCCCCCCCTTAAGTAAAGGCTTTACTTGGCACCCGATTCACTGCCGTATTTCAACAGTGTGCAGCCCAGACTGACAATCTGCACAATCTTGTACAGTTATTGCATTAACCTGAGCATTTACAAATGTGCTTGCAATGAAACTTACTACTTTGGGTAATTTTCTACAAAATTCATCCAACTTTGTGTTCAAAGACATGTTCAGCGCTCTTTTGCTTACGAAGGATAGTTTCCTTTAAACGCATGTTGTTTTTTTACTTTTTATGTAAAAGATTTTTCCCACCTTGCACTTCTTCCTCATCTTCCGGTATACCAATGATGGGATCCGAACTCAGATTTTCCGGCGTTGACCGTCAACATTCGCCTCGACGGCCGCAAACATTTTCAGACCCCAATGTAATAAGAAGAGCTCCACCATATGATGTTTCAAGTCAGGCCGAAATATTGATGAATACACAAAAGAAACAACAAAACGGTTAGTCACGTTCTTCACATCTAGCCGCCCCCCC